GCTTTGCTTCTTGCCCTAAGAAAAAAGAGCCATATTACTGCAGTGCTGAGCTGAAGTACCCACACCAGCTCTAAGCAAACTAGCTTTGGTAGCGGTATTAGCGGAGCACTACATCTGAACTGTAATACCACTCATAAGTAATTTGGGCAGAGTGCCTTGCTAACTAGTCCCAACCTTGTGTTTCTATACTTCTGCAAGCTCATTGACACCTAACCTTGACATCATTTTGTGCAAGCATACCCTTGGTTTGAATGGCACATCCCTGTTAAACCTTTCATTCCATTCACCTATCAGTGCACAGTTGCTACTATTATGTGTGTTAGGCTGTTGTACCCTGTCTTGTTCTTCCAGATACATAGTTTCTATTTCCCTTTCTGTAATCACACCCCATTAATCCTCTTCCACAATAATACATAATTCTTCTACTTTTTGGACTGTGCCCTGGATGGACTTCTGGGCAGAGATTTTATTTCGTTTCTCCATTAGTCAGCGATGACAACTCAAGGCATGGTCCACAACCGGATTTAAGCAAGTGCCCAAACTGAGCATGAGATGTGCTTCTGAGGGCAGCAGATACATTGCTTTACCTGAGCAGAGTATCTGGCCCAAACTGTTTTTCTCTTTGCACTTGATCTAGGAGAAACCCTCCATTTCAGGAAGCTGACTAGAGCAAAACAGTAAGGTATAATATGCAAGAAAGCACTGTCGAGAGCACAGAGTAAACAACAGGGGAAACTGCTTATGCTGGAAGTAGCTATCAGTGACGGGCTGTCAGAGGCACACAGCAGTCCCTCTGAAAAAATACAGATAAACATTTGTGTTTCCAGTCCTTCAGTTATAAGAGTCTTAGTTGTTACCTATAATAAGAGCAGGTAAGATCTTTTCAGGTTGTGATTTTCTAAACTGACAGCATCCCTTTGAAGTATATCTGTATAGAATAGCAATTACATCCAGCATCCAATTAGTCTAAGCACTAGTTTCTTCTCCCGCGGCTCCCCTGAGGATGCCATCCCTCTGCACACAGGAATGTGCACAGCTCTCTAGAAAGGACAAAGGGAAGCAGCATGTTGCAAGCAGAGCCATGGCAGTGGCACTGCTCTCGTGGCGATGGAAACGCTTCCTCCTGTCAGAGATGAATTCCTCTGGGCAGAGCTGGCATGTTTCCAGAAGGGCCTTGTGCTGCTGAGCCAAAGGTGAACATTGCAGCATTTGCTTTTCCTTGCCAGAAGGGAGATGGGCTCCTCAAGTAAGAAGTGTTTCAGCTACAGTATCTCAAACATTTACAGTTCAGTTATCTGTGTTCCTGCTTCCAGGAGACTTATTGACTGAAATACACGCTTAAGAAACCTGTTCCTTTTCACTGTGAGAGAAGGAACAGGAATAATAGTATACCATAGGAGCAGGATAACTAACAGTTCAGACATAATACTCTTTCAATTTGAAGGAGTCTGTTGCACCATGTCTTTCATCCCCTCACATAGCACACAAGCATTTATCTGTGCTGTCAGCGGCTCATCAGTGAGGCTTACAGACTTATTTAAGTGGATATCAACACCAAAGCTCTGTTCTTCCCTCTCTTATAGTGTTCCCTCTTAATGGATGGCTTGTGTCTGGTGTTAGCAGCACAGCGAGACAATGCAGTCATTTGCTTCGACTCCCTGCTGGACAGGTAAGTGAGGAAAGTATCACTTTAACAGCACTTTTTCACCACTGTCTCGACTCCCTATCAGAGAGCTTGTGATCTGAGCAAGAGCAGCCAAGCTTTCTTCTCTGTAATTCACTTCCAGTTTAGATTCTCATGAGGTTACATGCCTCTCAAAGGCAACCCCTTCTTCATAAGTTACATTTTTTTCTGATACATCAATACCTCAAGAGTGTTCCTCAGTTTGGAAGTCACATGTCCCATACTCAGGACCCTAAGTAGTGGGTCATGGTGTTTGTCAAAAACTTGGTGTGTCTGTGAGATTTGGCAGCATCGTTCCACAGATGCAGGGAAATCTCTGAAATAAAAGCTCACATTGGGAATAGACCTGCTGAATTGATAAAATTCCTAGGAGAAATATCTTAGCAGATTTTATGTTCGCTATGGAAAAAAAAACACTTAAAATAAACACCAGAGAGCAAAATCAAAAATCAGCCTCTTAAATAAATCACCAGAAATGCCGGGTAGAGGATTTATAAGCCTGATAAAAACAAACAGAACCCCTCTATGGGGACTGATTAGTGGAATAGAATGATTATCAGGCTAATTAACCCACTTGCCCCAAGAGGGAAAGTTTCCCTGTAGAAGGGCTGGTATTTGGCAACGTGATGTGCAATTCACGCACGTGGTTTCCTCTGGGAAAGGAAGCCAAGATGTGTTTTCAGACACATCCAGCATGGAGCAGTCCTACAGCCACACTGATAAGGCTGTCATGACTTTGGCTGTTCTATCTGGAAGACTTCCAGACAGCACCATCAATGCAACAAGAGTAGGAATTCAAGGATGCTAGAGTTTACAAGCATCAAGGCGATTAAATCCAAACATCAGTTGGTACACACCGTGCAGTTCCTGTACTTTGATCAAATGTTATGGTGCTCAGTCACAGGGCCACAGTGAGGATGGGGAGATGGAACAAATACCGTAAGTAACTTTTCAAAAACGTTTTAAGTCATGACAACATTTAGACGTTGCTCACGTTCATTTAAAATCTCACACTTGGGAGCCACATCCCAAACCTCCAACCCAACAAGTTACAGCACTCAGCGCAAGCAAAGAGCAAGTTTCCTAATAACTGTTTAATGAGTTTTCTTCCAGCCTTTTCCTGATTTATAGAAAAAAGGATCTGTCAGAAATCACAAAGATCACTGCTGAAGGTGGGAGAGTGGCTGTCAGCAGAGCTGGGACTAGATACAGAATCCCCCCCCTTTATTTTTCCTGGACTTTTGCTCATCAGTCATAGATGCTGCATAGCAAAATTCATCTGCAGCTCAGCACTTCCCAGTACTGTAGGTTTAACTTGATATACTCCAGAACTGCCATTCCCAAGGCAGCACGCCCAGAGCAAACACTGCAATGGCTTCTCACTGCTGCTCACAGTGAGTGGTGGGGTTGAGGAGTAAATGGGGAGGAATAGGTGTGGACACTGCCAGTCTCAGCTGTCTCTCACTCCTCATCCTGGTGTATACAAGTACAGGTGTCTGAACAACTCATAAACTTTCTTGCCAAACTCCAAAATATGTGTGCATAAATTATGGCTGCTCGGAGGCACTCCCAAATGGTGAGTTCCACTCTGCCTCCTACCTCAGTGCCAGAACCGGTGATTGTGCAGCCATTTAAAAATAGCCTTACAAAAAATTATTTGTCTTCATGATTGATGGTGCTTGTGGAAGGGAGAGGCAGCAAGGTGTGCCCAAGGATGGGGAGGAGGAGAAGCAGTGATCCTCAGTTAGAGCAACTTAAGCCAGCAGTGAGATCATACCCTTATTGCATCACGCAAGCTGTCATGGTGTTAAAAATCAACTCTGCAAATATCTTTGAAAACCCAACCTGACTTCACTGGTGTCTCATAAGGACACTTCATGCTAAGACATCTTCATTGCCTAGTTTATAAGCATTTCAAATTAACATCTGAGTTTAATTACTCTTACCACTCCATCAGCAGGAGCCACATGACCTTTCTTGCACTAAATAAATCTCTGTATGTTTGTTTCACTTTTATTGCCCTGGTCCAGGATTCCAATAACTACGCAGGCTCTGGCCTGCATTTCAGCTGCGTTGCTGAAGCACCACTGTGTAAGGGACTGTTTTATGGCCCTGGGAGTTGATTCCCAGCTGAGCCATATTACTTAGGCTTTGTGCCACAGGGAGGAACATTGCCATCTGTATGGAAGCCTGGACATTGCCATCTGGATGTCAGAGAGGGGCTGTGATAAGAAGCAGGAATCGAGCATTGAGAGGAACAATGTAGGCACTGCTAGTGTAACTACTAGTAGTTCAGAGTCTGTTAAAGCTTTCCTGAGCCAACTCTATCAGTGGCACATCAAGGAGAGACACTCAGTCTCTGGAGAATGTGCTGTGCAGAACAGTTGCCTTAAAGACAGACACAGACCCTCATAACTGTATAGAGATTATTGTTTATGGACAGCAGTGCCCGCTCTATCCATTTCTGGACATGTATGAAGGGATTATTTCTGCTCCAAAGGGCAGGAAGAATAGAGTGGGTGACAAAATTTATGCAGGTGGGGTCACAAAAGCAGCCTGTGAGCTTGATTGACTGCAAAGAGTGGAGCCAAAGCAGGAATCTGGGATAATGTGGGAGAGTGCCAAGGCTAACTCACAGGGCAGAGTGAAGTAAACGTTTGAAGGAGGTGAGGGGAAGCTGAGACACAGCCTAAGAGCAGTAGGGACCCAGGGGAAGAATCCGAAGAAGGAAGTGACACAATCCTATCCACCGACAAGGAATAATGATTTGAGACTTACCTTTCTTGTTCTGTCAGCATCCAGTTGCCTGGATCTCCAGGGTTAAGCATTTGAATTTCCCCTGTCATAACTTGTTTTTAAAGCCAGATTTCCTAGCTGCAGGGTGGCAGAGGGAAGAATTTATAAGTAGATTCAAAGCAGCTACTGGAAGAAAGGCACGCTCTGCTTTTTATGCTTCTCGCATGACATGCTAGATTTCGTTAGCCTACTAAGCGATACCGATTTAATAGTGATCACACTAGAACTTGTTCCTCTGTGGTTATTTGAACTTTTAAAAAGATGCTCATAAGACTGTTAGGACTTAACTGTATAGTGCACAGTCTTTAGGAGTTCGCCTAGTTAACATCATACTGAACGCAGTAAGCAGTGATTGACTAAAGCCCACCAAAAGCCTAGCTGTTTCAGAAGCAAATCTGAGTGTAGACTAGGCCTTGTACCTTCCCATTTTTTGACAATGTAGTGCAATCAGAACAAAAGTCAAGTGATTAGGAACTTTGCTGGATGTTAGTCTGTCTGATGAAATGTTCTTACCAAGTGTTAATTGCCATCAGTGGGGAGTGATGTTATCCCTAGAGGAGGCTTATCTCTGGGTGCAAATTTGCACAGTGCTTCAGAGTGGAAGGAGGTGTAGAAATCAAAAAATGAACACACGAGATGTAAAATCCTGGAGCTGTTGAAAACCACTGAAGGGAAAACTGTTGCCAAGCACAATACCTGCTTATGGAGGCAGGGAGTGGTTTCAAAAGTTTCTGGAAAGTTTTCAAGCCTAAGACTCTGACTGTGTGTGGAGTTAGTTACAAAGGCAATTCTGAGATTTGTATCTTGCCTTTTAATTTCTCCTGAATATCGCTTGTAGTGAATTCATGTGCGACTTCCACGAGCTGGAGAGTGGTCAGAGCTAAACAAGGACTAGTGAAGCAGACCCTGCTGCTGAGGGCAGCTCAGAAAGCCCTAGGTTTTTGGGCGGAAAGCACACAGATCGTCTTTGTTGAGAAAAAGGCTCTTGCACAGAGCTTAAATCTCTAGATGTAGGTATATTTCCCACTGCCCCGGAGACCCGATTATGCAACAGGTCATTACTGTTTGTTTGAAGGCTTATATTTTAAGAATCCAAATCCATTTATACAAAGCTTTGTAAAACCCAGGATTTATCTGTGTAAAGAAGTTCAGTAACAGATGCACATGGCCAGAGCTGCTGGCACAGAACATAACCCTCCTCAAAGCTAGGTCATCTGCAGTCTCTGACAGCTTGGATGGCAAAGTAACGCTTGCTTCCCTTTTTCTTTACCCCCAGTGTTTGTTGGCAGAAGCAGTCGGTACTGGACACTGTGCAGCATCTCCTCTATCCCCAAAATGAGAAGCAGGCAAGTAGAGAAGCTTATGGAACAGATACACATCCTTTGTGCCCCCATGATGAATGAAGCTTGTCAAAATAGGTTATATTTTTAAAGAAAATTTCAACTTGTACAAGACAGAGGTGGTGCCTCATGGCAGCCCCTAGCCTTGACTCATACTGAGAGCCCAGCACATGGTGGAAGATGGGACCTAAAGCCAGTCAAACTGTATCTTCCACATGACACCAGCAGCACAATATTTAATCTAAATATTTGGAGGTTTTGATAAAGATTCAATATTTTTCATAGAAGTCAGTTACTTTTTATGAAGAATCAACACTTAGTAAAATATTTGTGATATTTGTCAAAAATTAGTGACAGAAAATGTTCATTCAACCCTACTGCAAAGCTGGCCCATGTCCCATGTTCTGGAAGTCATGTTTCAGAAGCCCCAGTCCAAATGGAGGAAGAGAATTTAACTCATTAGCTATTCCAGTGTTGGTCTAGCTGAATGTTTTCTCAATAGCTCATCTCAAAGAAGGAAACACTAAGCTCCAGGTTCTTAAAGGCATTTGGGCACTTAATGAGAATAAACTGCGCAAATACCTTTAAAACTCTGGCTGTAATCATCAAAATTCAGTACAAACAAGAGACTTGGAGAGAGGAGGCAGTGCCTGAAGAGTTAGGACTAGGAGTTGTAAAATAGCTGGTGCAGAATTAAAAATGGTAACAAGTAGACAAGCTTCTCCTCTAGATCCCTTTTGCTCCCCGAGAAAATGCAGCAGGAGAGTAAGATATGTTTGTCCCATCATATAACATATCCGAGCTGCTGCTTTCAGCACCAGTGTTATAAGGATTGGGCCTTAAAGACGCAGGGCCCTCTATGAGGTCCATGTTCCTATTTGTAAACCAGGCCAAACTATCCCAAACTTCCCAAAAGTTGTACAGCTGCTGTTTCCAGCACCTTTCACCAAGGTGCAGTAAAATTCTCCAAAAGTTTAGCTGGGATTGTGTGGGATGCAGTGGCCAGGAAGGTCTGCAGGCACAACTCTGGGAGAGCTGCAAGGCGGTCATAGCACAGTGCTTACTGCTGCCAAGGTGCCAATCTGTTGCCAAGTAATGTGACAGGGCAGCAAGTCTAGGCTGTCTTCTGATTTGCTTTGAAAAGGACATTACATATCTCTGGCTGACATAAAATCCCTTCTGCTTCATGGCTATGGGAAATTAGCCTATCAGAAAGAGGCTTATGATGCTTTCTGTGACAGACAAGGAAAAAGCAAATATGTTCAGCCCTCTTCTCCCTGCTCTTGGCAGCCTGGACCACTGCATCAAATCCTTCTGGCTTTGGTGGAAGCAGGGGCTATTCACAGCAGTTCGTAGTTTAGATCATCAGCCTAATCCTGAGAGGGGAAAGCGATGCCTCATCATTTTGCAGCCAAATGAGGAAACAGCTTCTGAGATAGCAGTGGGTGCAGCATTTCTCATGTGTTGGTTACCAGAAGCGCAGCAGAAAGCAACATCTCTTATTTTCAAGTGGGTCTTTTGCTCCAAAGTTCAGGATAGATTTAGAAATCCTAAAACAAGATTGGAGGAGCAAACTCGCCAGAGAATGACTGTACCTCAAAGGATGTCTGTAGAAACCATATTTGATCCTCTGGTCTCTTGCTAATGAGTTTACCAAGTGTCAGCCAGGCTTTCCAGGTCAAAGCTAATGAGCAACAACATGATATCAGGCAAAGACACAGATTTCAAATCCTCACGGTATGAGCACGGCTGCAGTGTTCACTGGCGGAGTGAAACCATGGAAGTGAAATGGAATTTCATACTTGCCCTTGTGTGATTAGGGACTAGACATTATGATGAGAATTCAGCTTTCCAAACGCAGACTATTTCAGTGCTGATGTCTCTGTCTGGGCTAGTTGCTTTGCCTTCTTCTGTAGTCATTTAGACTATAGCAAGCACTTCTGCAGCTCATTTCATCTGCACTGTTTGAAATACCACCTTAGGAGCAGATGAGCTCATGCTCTGGAAGTTCTTACTTCTCTCTGTCAACATAAAGGGCCCCTAGATGGAGAAATCAGATGCAGTTCCCTCCACGGCGGTCCCCTAAAGTTTGCTAAAAAGACTTGAATTGCCCTCACAGATCCCTTAGCAGGACTGCATTTCCAGAAACCTCGAGGATGGGATTTATTTTCTAGTGCTTATTCCTAGGTTTGAGGTAAGGAGAGTATGCCCGGTCTGTTGGGTTTTATCTCTGGAAATCTGATATCTTCTCTGTTTAACAAAGCACAGCAGACAGCTTTGGTTGTCTGGAGGAGAGAAGGCTGAGATACCCCAGCTAAAAGAGAAACTCAGAGAGTACCAGTGCTTTAGGACACACTGGCCCCACAGGCGCCTTACGCAGTCTTGCCTTGGTCATAGCGCCACACAGACACCCAGAGCCAGATTGCATCCGGAAATGGTAGAGCCACATTTTGGTGGTGCCGCTATTATGGGCTGTCAGACTCCGGCGGGGCTCTGTGAGGCAGTCTCAGGTGTCTCTGCACCTGCAGCATAGTTCATACCCAAGCTGGAATCTCCCCAGAGGTAACAGAGAGCTGTCAGGGTGTGCTGTGCTCAAACATGATAACTGCAGGACTGGGTCGTCCTGTGGCTAGATGGAGTTTCTCCTCACGTGCAGCTCTCTGCACCTTGGCTGGCACAAGGCTGCGCACCTGGGGTGGCTGTTCCTTGGTGATGGTGCAGGGTACAGTACATCACTGACCTGCCACTGTTAGCTACTCAGAGGAGGGAGAGAGCCCAGTCCCTGCGTAGCCATACCTCGCTAACCATCCCATGGACGTGCAGTCGAGCCTTTGCTGACTGGCAGCACTAATCTTTCTGCTCTGCCTGGAGCTCTCAAGCTCTTACCAGCAGCCCTGATGGCTGCTCCAGCAGCTCCCTCCCTGTAGAGACAACTGAAACCTGGGAGTGGAGCAGAGCAGCACAGGGGAAAACACATCCCAAACGCTCTGGGCAAGATCCTCAGCCCCTTAAGAGCAGGCAGAAGGGCTGGAGTGCTGTAAAAGAGTCCTGAAAGCCCAGGGCAGCTATGAGGATAGGCAGTGCTGACAGAAGGGGGGCCTCACACAAAAGAAAACTACCTCTGAAAGGAAGAAATTATTTGACATGCACAGAAATCACAGCGCTCTCCCAACACTTTCCTTCTTTTCTCCCCAGGCTGAAGAGCTACTCTGTTGCCTTTTCGACTCCCTAACATCTGACAGCATCCACTACATTGAATCCCAGGATTGCTGACCAAGATGGTATAGACCCCCAAGCAGCCCATGGGTGGATGCTGTTGTGGGTATCTGTGCAAATGAACATGCTAGGAAATCCTAGCCTCCAAGAGCACTTGTATTTGTTTGTCATTAAAAAGTCAATACCTTGAGTATGGTATTTGCATCAGTAAGGTAAATGAGACTGGCGGGAGGAAGGGTCAGTACCCAAGAGCAAATCCTTCTGAACTGTAGCTGTGATTTCTAATGGAGTGCGTTCAGCAACAATCTGCTTGCGTTGCATCGGGCAAGGTTCAGAGCACTCTTCTAGCTGACAAGAACTCGGAAGGTGAAGAGTAAATGCAGGGGCAGGGGTTAACAGCTGTCTTTCTCTCAGGTGCTTGAGTCTTCCCTCTTCCACAGCCCCCGAAGACATTATGGAGAGGTTCCATTTTCTGCTGCTACTATATTCTTCCTTGAAATGGAGCCAGCTCTTTGTGGTGACCAAGCCCAGACCCAGCAGAAGGGCTCAGGACAGAGCGAGTATTTTCTGTCTGTTGTTGGGAAAAAACTTATCACTTCCATCCCTGCCCGTGCTGAGCTCTGCCTCCTTTCTCCTCTAGCACACTCTACCATCAGCTGTCCACACTAACTTCTGCTGGTTGCTACAAGGGTGAACCACAGTAAAAAGCAAACCAGGTAGAGCCATTAAATATGATTAAAAGTGTGACAGCTCAATGTTCACTTGCCTCTGTTCCAGCAGCCCTGTTAATGGCTGTCTCTGCCCCAGGCCCAGCTCAAAGCCCTTCCACAGGTGCACAACCCTGCCACTTATTCCTCCTTCTCCAGCAGTCATGATCCTAGGGCAATTCCTTCTTTGCTGGGTCCTTTCAGTGAGCTGTTAAGCAACGGATGCAGGTGTTAATACAAAGGCCCTGTGTTCTTGGGACCCACTGGGTAAATTCAGCCCCTTTTGCTAAGACTCTTTTTCAGCCCAGAAAGCCTCTTGTTCCTCTGTCTGCAGTTAGGTGGCCAAAGACTTGGACGTGCACATGCCTCCAGTTACAGATCCTATCTTGGACATACTAAAACCAGTCCCTATGCAATCTCCAAGTGGTATTAAGTCAGAGCAGCACACAGCTGCCAGAAGGGGTTGCTGCTTGGCCCACTGGCAGGTGAGCCCATTCACACACAGCCTTTCCCATCAAGAGGCCTGATGCGAATCTGTCTCCTCCTCAGCCATTAGCTCACACAAACACGTGAGACTGTAACACCTCTGAGATCTCTGTCTCCTTCCCAACTAGGCTGAAACTGTCCAGTAAGTTCCAAAGCTGTTATAGGTCTGACCCTGCAAGTTCTGCTTCCTCAGTCTGGCAACAGTCCTACCTCATTCTTTCCCTTTCTTCAAGCTACCTTGAAATAGAGATAAGAGATTGTCCTTATCACTGTCAGGTGGGTGAGCAGAGGCAAGGACAGGTGACCTGCCCTGCCCTCACACACCAGTTTGGTGTCAGATTGGATGTAGCCCCCCAAACCTCTACTCCCCAGCACAGTTCTGTCTGGACAGAGGGTATCTGGGCTTTCTGGTGGGGCTGAATGTCTCCTGAAGGGAAGCTCCAGAAGTCACTGAGGCAGGTGAGGAGCTGCCCTAGTGCCCTGGGAGGTCGGGGTCCCAGTAGCCAGGGCGATGGAAAAAATGGCTCTGTTCCTGCAGCTAAGTAGGCTATTTCTTGCACTCTGGGCACATTTCTGTCTTGCTTGTAGGCCATGTACAGCTTTGAAACAAATGAAGATTAAAAGGATCCACCCCCAGCACTTAGGGAATTTGACCTGAAAAAGGAGAATGTTGGAATAAAAAGCAGTCAGTGAGCAGCTGAAAGACAAGGCCTGCAGAGCTACATGTGAGCAAGTGACACGCAGGGCTGGCAGTGGCCCTGCACCCAACCAGCAGTATGGATGTGGTGTGGCCACCAGTGCTGTGTCTTGACTAGCCTGGGCTCTCCGACCTGGAAAAACATGGGATCACAGGGAGCTGCCCTGAGTGGCATGGCCTTTATCCTAAGGCTTGGGGACTCCCTATGCCAGGAGATGATGCTCTAGGGACCAGAGGCCTTCAAGCCCAGCAGTCAGCGTGGGGAATCAAGGCCCAGTCTGGGCCTGATGGCAAGCAGGAGCACTCCAAAGTTCGTGGCAGGAGGTGAGACCATGACTGTCTCTGTGTTAGGCCATGTAACAAACCAGGGCCTGGCACTAAGAGCCCTCCTTCCGGGCAGCTCCACTACCGAGGCTCCTCCTTTGTCAGCCCTCATCCACAAAAGACGCAGAGGCTCGTGCCTCAGTTTCCCATCTATAAAACAGAGATAACAGTTCTGCCACATCTCCCAGGTGCAATAAGAATAGCAACATAATAAAAATGGGGCAACACCTAGATATTTTTGAGAGAGAGGCTGTTTAAGTATCTTCAATTCCTATTTTAAAGCCCCGCTAATTAATCTTGGTGTAACAAACCAGCGTGCCCTGCACAAAGCAGGGGAAACAAGCATCCTCTGATATTTCCAAAATGCCAAGATTCCATAAATAACCTAACCAGCCTTTCCTCCCAGAGCACCACACTTCTCACTAGAGAGCTGACAACCAGGAGCACCATGGACCCTGCAAAAATCAATCCCGTCACTCTGCCACCAGCTCCAGCTCTGTCAAACGGAGCTGCAGTTCACACGGTGTTTTCCCTGCAAACTGCCACAAGGCAGCCAGGATTAGCTAATCAAAGCTGAGGAGCAAATTAATGATTGCTAGAACTAGGAGGAAGGCAGATTTGATGGGCGATTGTCAGCTTTGCAGCTGGCTCCTACTTGCAAACAATTCATTTAGATTATGAAAGCAAGGAATTGAGTACAAAACCCCCTAGATTGTTTGCTTCCTAGAGAAAGAAAAGAAAAGAAATGGAATTTAGATTAAAAATTATGCAGAATAGTATTAATTCCCCACCCTCTTGTGCCTCCCCTTTTGCTGGAAAACCAGAGCTAATCAGAATTTAGCATTGTTCTACTGCCAGTGCTCAGAGCTGGCCTCAATGGAGGAGAGATAAAATACAGTAGGTGGCATTTTGTGTTAACTCCTTAGAGTCCTGCAATATGAAAGAAGGGAACGCAGCTTCCTGGGCTGGTCCCTCATTTTCCCAGCGTGCTCTGGCCTGATGGTCGTCTCCCTTCAAGACTGCAAATGCTTCACATCCCGCGCAGAGATGACGCTATGCCCCAGGACAGTCGGCCACAGGCACTTTGTTCACCTTTGTCACGTTTATTCATTGCGAGAAGCTCTTGCTCAACAAAGGCTACACACAGCCTGACAGCCTCAGAGACTGAACTGAATTAGTGGCAGTGGCTGTTGGCGATGCTGGGAAATGGATGGGACTGCGAGGGTCTCGCAGGGCACCCCGAGGAGCCAGCAGCCAGGCTGTGCCTGCAGCTGGTGCTCCAGGCAGCGATCTCTGCGCAGAGAGCTTAGCAGGTCCCTTGCAGTCACATGAGCCCTTCACATCAGAGCAGATCCGTGTCCCAAGGGATACAGAGGTCCTGAGAGCCTGCCTGTCAGGCACTGGCAGAGCCACACTTGTGTCATAGGTTTCTAAGTCACTGCGCTCCACATTGTGCCAAGGACACATTTAACTAATTAGCAGTTAGGCCTAGAAATCACTGCCTTGCTGCCACCAACAGCAGCGATATCAAGCCCTGTGAGTGGAGGGCTGCAACTGTTTGCTTATCAGCACCAAGCAAGGCATGCACGTGACGCAGTGCGATTCACAGGTGGAGGAGCGGAACCGGCAGCTGATCCGCTCTCCCCGCTCCTCTCCACTCTGCCTGGAGCTGCAAGAGGAGCCCCAGCCCCAAGGAGCACCCCGAGCCCGGGGCTGAGCCTCGAGCCTCCTGCCCCATTCCTCTGGCTGCAGCCCTCCTCTGGGTGTCCCGGGCTCAGGGTGCTGCCAAGCGAGGTGGGTGGTCTCTCGCCACTGACCCTTTTGCAGCCACAAATGTGGATTCAGCAGCTGCTCAAAGGTTTTGCAGATTGGCCCAACTGACCCTTCCAGCCCCCAAATTAAAATGACAAGGAAAAACCTGAGAGAAAATGAATAACCTCAGAGCAAAATGTTTGGGTATTTCGCTTTGAAGTCCCCTTCAGCCTTCTGCTAAAGTAAGCTTGTTTGAAAACGTACAACCCCTGGAGTTGAAGCAGCCCCTTGGAAACAACACACCATTGTGGGTTTCATTTGGGCCAGAATGACTCTTTTTTTTTACATTTACATTTCCTCAGAACAATAGTATCTGCTCCAGCCCTATGCACATGAGTCCCGCTCAGTGCCAGGGACATCTCACATCACCGTTCAGACTTGCCAGCCTGAAAATCACTGGGTAGCACACAGGATTTCCTGCCCTGCCTGCAAACTGCATAGGCATGGCCTTAAAACTGGGCACTGGTTTTCATCTCGGGATGCCCACAATTGGTTCGGGAGGCAAGGAGCTGACGGACTCGATGAAGGAAGGGGGAGGCCTGGGGTGACGCTGAAACAGCCATCCATGCTGGACTGGATGACCTTGGCCTGCAAAGTTCCTGCGCTCACAAATATTTGCCTTGCTCTAGCTGGCTCAGCCCTGAGCACCTTTCCCTTGGCAGACGGCCGCTGCTGTTGGATTTCCAGGTGTCTCTGCATGCAGAGGGCTTGTTGGGCCATCACACAATGACCTGACTATCAGAGAGCCCACCCGCTCCGGGTGTAAGCGAGGCGAGCAGCCAGGGTGAGGGTATGGCAGAAGCGGTTGCTGGTTTCTGCTGGGTAATTAGTACTGACACATGGTGCTGTGACCTCCCACCAGCTCTGGGTGTGTTTGCGTGCACCGTCGTGCCATGTGTGTGGGAGGGTGAGCCCCCAGTGCAGCGGGTGAGAAGCGCGCGTCAGGCTGTGCTGTGCAGGCTGGTGGCTGCTGCGTGGCCGTGCGTGGCTTCGCGGAGCAGCACCTCTGCTATTACAACCTGCTGCGGTTATCCTTGCTCCTGGCGTCAAATTTTGGGGACCCGCAAACGCGTCATGTTAATGCAACCCTTGGAGCTCCCTGGAGGTTGTACGCCTCTCCCAGTGAACTGCTGCCCTCGTGATTTCTAGGGCAGAACAGCCACAGGCTGGGGCCAGGGAGATGACGAGACCCCAGATGAATCTGTGGGGTCTCCCACCAGTCTCTTTCCTCTTGCCATCGGGGACCCACCACCCTGCCCCTTTATGGATCTAAAGTAGGGGGAAGCCTAGGCTGGTCCCTTCTTGTTGCCCCTGCGTTTAGTGTGCGTACAACACGGCAGCAGCCACCCAGCCCGAGGGGGTTGTCCCGGGCTGGTGCAGCAGCTGTGTGCTCTGCTTTGGCCTTTGCTGGACAAAGCACTTGCCTCCCTGTCGTCTCCCTGCTGTGGGAGCAGGGCCTGGGCCCCAGTCCCAGCGCCATCACAGAGGTGTCCGCTACAAAGAGCGGGCAGTGGCCCCTCTTCATTCCTTGATCTCCATCTGGGGAACCGTCTCCCAGGCCCATCACAGCAGGAGCTGCTGATTAATTGGTACTTGGCAATTCCCTGTTGACATGGGCTGGAGAAGCACAAAGGGCAATTTGTCTACAAGGCTGCAAGCTTTGATAAAGCAGGGCTGGGATGACTCAGATGTGGGTAATTAAACTGGTTGAAACAGCCGATGGCTCAGTCAGAAACACCAGCTCAGTGCACTAGGATCTCTTTGAACTGCTCTAAGTAGGTCAAGCAGGAGCCTGGTGCTGGCAGTGCCTTGTGCTGGCTTACCTGGCTCTGGCATGATGGCACAGGGGCACAAGTAGAAAGCGATGGCAATGCCACTCCCAGGATGTTCCTGCTGGGGAGCGTGTCCTGAAGAGCTGCTAGGTTTGTGTCTGTTACAGCAGACACCCCTGGCTGCGCAGAAGGCAGGTCAAAAGAGGATCTGTGCCCTGTCAGATTTGCATGATGCAGGGCAAAGCTTGGGGGCTGTCAGCATTGCAAATACAAGCCCAGCTTTGCTCAGCAGAGGTGCCACATCATCTCCAGTTGCGTTTCTCCAGCTGTGGTGCCAGAGACAGCATGCAAAACCATTGCAAGCATTTGTAAACCCTAAAGCAATGCAGATAAGTGGAGGGATCTGTGTTGATAAAGAGCACTGAAAGGTCAGCTAGGTTCTTTGTTCAACTGCAAGTAAAAGCCATTGTTGCACCTCTGCATGGGAGGCACGTGGGATCATTATTTTCAGAAGATGCTTTTGCTGAAACGGTGTGGTGAGACAGCATCCAGGAAGGAGGCTAAACCTGGGCTGGGGGTGCTGCAGAGACAGCAGCAGCCCAGGGTGATGCAGGGTTACTGCCAGCATGGTCTCAGCATGGCACAGGACACTGAGAACTGTAAACAGGGTGACAGAATCAGAGCTGGGGCTGTGGTGACACAGGCCAGCCCCAGCTGGACTCTGCAAGGCAGGTTGGACAGCACAGTGCCTGTCACCCTGGGGATGTCCGGCCCCATCCACCCCAGGCCTGCCACCGCACTCCCTCCCCAGCCACGCTTCCTTGTGCCAGAGACGCATCCGGGCTGGCTCCCCTGGGATGTAAAGGCTGGCAGGCAGGCAGGCAGGCACCTCCACCAGCCTGCCCTGCTGGGACACGTCTCTCCTGCCTTAGGGCCACTTGCAGCTGGTCCCATGGCGCTCCTGCCCTCCTGGATGGCTCCCACCCATCAGTCTAGGCAGAAATAGCCCTTGCTCTCCTCCCCCTTCCTCTCCTCCTCTTCTCCCTAGGGCTCACCCTGTTTGCAGCGCCTGCTCTCGTTCCTGCTTCCCTTTCAGCAGGGATCCGGCGTTGCTAAGGGCCACGCTGATGCAAATCCCACCGCTCCCAGCCTGCCACAAGACAGATGGGATGAGCGCAGCCAGCACAACGATGCAGAGCCGCTCAGCTCGGGTGAGGTGAGGCCGCTCGGTCCCGCTGGTGGCTGGATCCATCTCCTGCTTTTGCCAGAGCTGACAAGGGGGGGTCTGTCTGCCCTTCCCTATGCCCCCCTCCCCGAGGAAGGTGTCTGCGTCTCCCCCTCCTGCAGAGACCAAAGCCAAAGGAGGCCGAGCACCCCAGCATCCATCCCTGTCTCTCTAGAGCTCACCCCGAATGCCCTGGTGACTGTCACTCAGCCTGTGAGCCAGGAGCTAATACCAGACCAGCATTACCACCCCGTTAGCTCCCACGCTGGAGAAGCGGGGCTGTCCCGCAGCGGGCAGCCCTGGCAGCGTGCTGTGCCCTCTGCGGCGTTTGGGCTGCCCGGGTCTCTTGTGTGCTGTTGGCAGAGCCTTATCGCACGCAGGCTTAGATTTAAGAGCCGTTTGCCTGCGCGGTGCTTCTCGTATCATTAGCTGTGTTTGGAAGGTGAGACTGCGGCCAGTCAACATGGCCTTGAGGAGGTCGCAGAAGGGGCAGACGAACACCCCGGACCCCGCAGAGCACGTAGCTCACAGATGGGGTCCTGGACAAGAGAGAGAGATGGGATTTGGTGAGCTGCTGTCAGCCCAGGCACCCGTGGCGGGGAGCTGGCTCTGGCCAG